ACGAAAATTGTATTTTGATGAGTTTCTCAGAATGAAAAACGAAATAGGAATAACGGTAATTGTTATATTGAAATTTTACAGATATTGGTTTATAGAGTCAGCTCTTATTCTTTCACAACTTAAAAATGTTGGAAATATGCAATTAATTTCCAATAATTTGCCTGATGAAGTATTTGACTAATGTTTAAATACTTTTACGACAAAAGAATCAGACAAGAGCTTGGCATGCCCGGGACCACCGGATCTTCCCTCCTTGTGGCATATGAATCAAAATGTCTTGTCTGGTTGGCAAAATCAGAATCAGGTCATGTAAGGTTTTTTAGCTTTCTAATGTATCGGTGATCTGATATAGGTCAATAACGTCAAATAAACCACCACCCCACCCCCCAACCCCTGTTGATTTACCCTGCTGAACTATAAATAGAGATTAGGCAAACAACTCTCCGTGAGATTGTATGACGAGAGGGATTACTCTAACTTACCAACAGTCTACTTGCACTTTATGTGAACATTACTCCAGAAACTCAAACTTGTCTATTATTCACCACTTTTAAAGCACAGCCAAAGGTTGGTTTTCTTTGATGATTTCAAAAATTGTAATACGACACTTCCTCAAAAGCTCCTTGAACAAGAGTATCGCATTTAAGGCATGAGTATAACATTCAACATCAGTTTGTTGGATGGTTGAACGATTTCAGGTAAATGATTTACATGCATTTGCTTGTGTTTGTAACACAGGTTGGGTAAGATTCATTTACCTTTATCGCTCTTTGATAGTGATTCATACAACATATGCTCGTAATGTAGCCTGAATATTACTATGCGTAGATATTTTTATGATTATAGAAGAGGTTATCACTATTATTTAAGATTTTGTAGTTTTAGAAAAGGTTTCATCACTATTATTTAAGATTTTGTAGTTTTCTTGTTAATGTTTAGTTGTACATGTGGGTTATATTATAGACGTACAGATCACACGGATATTGGCCATCTTTTTTCTATAAACCATTTGCTTCCATTTCTTTTACGTTGGCATTTATTCTCGTAGTCTGAAGCTACTTTCTGATTTAACAGCTCATCTGATAACAAACACATATATGTATATTTAAACTAGAGACACAATATACAAGGCTGGTTGCGTAAATACAATCGTCATAATATTTTCCATAGCCATAAAAGCATTCTGCAGTGCACTCCATTGTGCGATTCCGTTGTGTATTTCAAACGATGAGTACTTTTTGTGTCACTGTATGCCCAAATTACAACCGGAAATTAGATGGAGCAGAAAAACTAAGAGAACGTTGTCGTTTAAAACAGTGTTTTTGCAAGTCTTCGCCTTTCTATTTACAGAAGGGTTTTGTCTCTTCATTTTATAAGGATCGAGAAAATATGTGAAAGGGAAAACCCTTAATAACACAAACACCCACAGTGAGTGAGTGGGTGAATGGGTAGGTGGGTAAGTGAGTGAGTGAGTGAGTGAGTTGGGGATTGTCCGATATGTGTAAGATTATTTCAATATCCCAGCCTCTTCAATTTATGTCCAGTCTCTAATCAATGTTTATTATATATTTTTAGGAAAGTAGACTGTGACATGTGTATGACTGTCCTTTATCTCACCCTATCCACCGCAGACAGCTTCTATCATACGCACTTCATGATCAGTGTTGTTCAAGTAACCCACATTCAAGTGGCCATTTTTGTGCATCTAAATACCAGAAAATCTGTTTCGGAAAGAACCTTGAAGCTCCAGATCTAGAAGTAGGTCATGGAAAACAAAAGCTGTCAAAGCCCCAAAGTTAATATGAATCCTGCGTGTATATTGAAAGATGATGTTGGTAGTGAGTGAGTGAGTGAGTTTAGTTTAGTTTTACGCCGCTTCCAGCAATATCACGGCGGGGGACACTAGAAATGGACTTAACACATTGTGCCCATTTGGGGAATCGAACCCGGGGTTTCGGCGTGACGAGCCAACGCCTTAACCACTAGGCTACCCCACCGCCCCAGATGATGTTGGTAACCACCAATATATTTGTCACAAGGAGATATGTTCCTTTCACCAAAAAAGTGAGTACGTGAGCGATTAAGGCTATTAAGCACTATTCCAGCAATATCAATGGGCTTCACACATTGTACCCATGTGGGGAATCGACGACGGGTGTTCAGCATGACGAACGAACGCTTTAACCACTAGGCTACCCCACCGCCCCTTGACCCAATGATGTTTTTCGATGCATTTGTTCAAGCCTATGAAGTAGGGTATGGATCTCAAAAGCACCATGCTGCTGTGTGCCTGAAGCAAATCCGTTTTTGCATGACATGATTGACAAGTTCATTACTCCTTTGCACTTGGAGTTGTACTATCTCACCTTTACCATAGCTCTCTACTATGCATTTTACACACCCACAAAAAAAAGAACATATAATAAAATACGGATACTACTCAATGGTTACTTAGGATCGCCATGTTCAAATGTTGAGTGGAATATTGAGTGGAATATACATCGTCATTTGTTCTCTGAATTATTGTAGTGTTAATTTAACATCAAATATACTACTCATAGCTTGATTAGGATCACAACTTTAAGAATGAAGAATGTGAGAATTATTGTACATTCCTACTACCATGTAGCTTGGACACGGTTAATGAAGAATAGACCGTTGTACTGTGCCGCGGAAGGCCAGCAAACACTATGTGATCAATCAGTCAGTCAGATCTTCCACAAAATTTTAATTGAATGGTCGAGTGAGTTTAGATTTACGCTGCACTCAGCAATATCCCAACTATATGGTGGCGGTCTGTAAATAATCAAGTCTGGAACAGATAATCCAGTGATCAACAGCATGACCACCGATCTACGCAACTGAGATACGATGACATGTGTCAACCAAGTCAGAGAGCCTGACCACCCGATCCCGTTAGTCGCCTCTTACGGCAAGCATGGGTTACTGAAGATCAATTCTAACCCGAATATTCACGGGTCGAAACTGAAAGAAGGTAAAGAAATTCATTGATAAAGCAAGCTGATTAACAACGAAAACAAGCATGATTATACACGAGATAAGTCGAGGCAAGATAACAGCAAGGTAAACAGGATACCAGTGAGAGTGGAGATCAGATCTTCCTAAAAAATGTATCGATCCCAAATTGAAACTGAATGATGGTAAAGAAATTTATTGTCCACCAGTAATTCTCAGTAGCATGTGTATGACCCGTGTAACGAGACAGTATGTCTATTCAGCAGTGAAAAAGTAAAAAACACAGCTATCTGTAATTTCCCGTCAGTGTTAAACGGATGTATGACCTCTGTGACCGGAGACCATCCTGATTGAGACGGAGCCCATCTAAATTGATCTCATTGGTGTATAAATACTTTATCGTGCTTAATCGTATGTTTGTTGCATTTGGGTTTAACATAAACGTACTGCACTGGGGTTAAACGGGTGTAACGTACGAGTACAGTGTCTGTTTAACGGTTTAAATGTTGCACCTTGGTTAAAATCTGTAATTGTGGCGGTGTGTGGTCCTGTGCGTAGAGCTCAGGTCACAATCAGTTGAAGTTAAGCAACGTTGGTCGCGGACAGTCCTCGGATGGGTGTCCGTGTTTGGCAGCTTGACTCCTGAAAGTTTCTAGGACTTCAGTCCTGCCCCACAACGAAGCACATGTGACGCATGTGGTCTCACCTTAGGCAAGTGAGTTTGGTCAAAATTGCCTCTGTCCACCCAGCAGTAAAATTGGGTACCTGGTATGATGCGATGGTAGTCTGAATTTGAACCTTGAGCGCCTGACAGGCGACAGGTTGTATTCTCCACAGGGAGTGTTCTGTACTCGTTGACCAGGGGTAATATGTCAGCGCTTTGAGCATGCAATGTGCATGGATAAACGCGCAATATAAATGGACTATTATTATTATTATTATTAATTAACGATCAAATATTCTCCCCATAGTGAATCTGAAGAAGCTGTCCAGACTCGACATCATACATCTGGATGTTATACCTGTTCACATGTTAGATAATGGGTCACCGTGCCCCACCGGCGTAGGTTCTTTCTCATAATTTAAACTACTGTAATGCCCAGATTAAGGTCACGATAATTACAGGCCAGCCTCATAACGTTGGAGTATTGCTTTGTGGAGTATAACAAGACGGATGAGTACAAGTCGAACAGTAACAGACATCGATTTTATCAAAAGGCAACATGAAGTGCTGTGTTTCTGTTGCAGTAGGCATACTTACAAATTACAGGGTCACAGCCGGTCGATTCAGTTGTTGGCGATCTCTAGCCTGTTTTTATCTTGTATTGTCCTAATAGTGCTATTAGTTTTAACCTTCCACACTAGTTTTAAATCTAATTGTGATATTCTAGTTGTTTTACTGTCCTTCGATGACAGGTTTTATAATATGCACATATTCCATTTCAATGTAAAATGTTCTCGTCACGATATGTCTGAAATATTGCCGATGTGACGTTAACTATTAACTCACTCACTCACTCACAGCCGGTCGATTATATGTACACAGTGCTCACAGTGCTAACAACTGTGCATTAAATTGATCAATATTTCTCACAATATTTATCGCTCTGCATAAAATACATCAAAGTGCACCCTATCGATGATGGCCACACGCAACGAAGTTGAAATGTCATGTTTCTCTGTGTATCGTTTAACGCCAGATTCTGCAATATTCCACCTTTTTATGATGACGGCTTTTGTAAATACCGTTGTGTGTGTTATGAACTGTATTCCTACTCAACTCTTTTTGTGACGGTTTGCAAAGAGTGAGTCAGTTTGAAATTTGTCTTCCTATGCATTTTGAATCTTCAGAACATCGTGTCTATGGCCGATAAAAACACCCCCGCATGAGACTAATATGACAATAGTTTAATCAACTGTTCCATATGTTGCCATTTACCGATATGTCACAATGACTTGCAAGTCCTAGCCTATAGAAAACCCACGCACACGCCGAACATGAAATGTGTTTTGCTATGACTGACCTCAAACCCTGTTGAGCACAAATAGAAGACATTTAAAATTGAGCTTGGACAGGGAGGTTCCCAACACTCCTAAGCCCTACAAAAAAACTCCTTCTCCTCTTCCCATCTCCCCACCCCGCCCCCGAGCATGCAGTTATATGTCATCTCGGTGTGGGAAGAAAGACAAATGTGATTCAGTCCTTGGCCACTTTGGTATTTACTCTGGACATGGTTGTTCTGGAACTAATGACCGTAGTCTGGTCTTTGAGTCAAGCTAAGAAACCTTGGATCCTGCCACGCCTGAGGGTAAAAATATGTTATACCTGACAATATACCTGAGAAGACAATAAAGGTGGTTAACCTGCAGGACGTGGTTGTTTAACAACTCTGAGAACATTTTCAATGATAGTTCAGGAAGTGGTGTTGTCCTTGAGAACACTCGTAGAACAATGCATTTCCAGGCCATATCATCCAGCTTTACTGTCAAAAAGTGTATTCTCATAATGTCAAGTTAATGACATAAAATCATTTAAATCAAAATCATTTTTGCTCTGTTAACATTTCTTACCAAGAAGGTAAAGGCATTACTTATTGTTGCTACCAACTGTTCCCTAAAGGGGTATAAAATGAAATCCTTCTTGAATATATATTTTAGTATTTCCGATACAATGTGATTACCGGATCCATTTATTCTTATGTCATCGTATAATAACTTTTTAAGCAAACTGATTGTCAAACAAAGTAACCAAAACAATTCACAAACCAACAAACTCCAACCTAAAACAATGCATGGCATGTGAATCCAGCTGAAAGGAGGTCAGACTAACCAATGACTACATCACATGGGTCATCTGTGTGCGATCGATCCCTTGACATGTGGAGCAGATGGAAGGAACAACAGTTGACGGGATTATATCGTACATGTGGAAAACGACAACCCATCTGAAGAAATAATGTACTTACAGAACCTTAGATCACATTTTCCTTTGCCATATTTGACATTATGCTGTGTTTATTACCTACTGGTTTTTAGCTTTAGGGACAATGGGTAGACATGATTATTGCTCATATCGGCGAGTAATGACAGACATAGCGTTGATGTATGAGATCAGTTCGTAATGGAATATTTTTGTGGGTAATCGTAAATGAATATTCTCTGGTGCTGACAGTCTAGAGTACTGGAAATTTATATTGAAGCGTCTATACCATATATTTCTGGCAAATGGGTCGTTTGAGGAGAGTGGTGAAATATGATACCGGGAATGTAATTTTCTGTGGTTGTACAGCGTGCATACAGGACCGCGTTTTGGAGCTGGGCCAGAATCCTGAAGACGATAGTTGATAAAACATCGACTGTATTTTAATCAGTTTACCTATCCCATATCTACATTTGTATATTTGAAACAATTGAACACTGCGCTTGCATCAGGAAATTACTCCGATAGCAGATATTGTTCTGCTTGATTTCATGTTTTTGTTCCTGTTCTTGTCCTTCTTCCTCTTCCGATTGTTCTCCTCCTCCTCGTCCTTCTTCTTCTTCTTCTTTTTCCTCTGTTTCTCCGTCTATTGTGGGCGATGGGGTAGCCCACTTATTAAAGAGTTTGCTCGTCACGCCGAAAACCCTGGTATAAATCGCTTCATTAGTTCAATATGTGAAGCCCCTTTTCTGGTGTGCTCCGTGATATTGCAGGAATCTCGTAGCTAAAAGCAGTGTAAAACTAAACTCACTCACTCACTCACTCACTCACGCACTCAGTCACTCATTTAATTACATCAAGACTAGGCCATTTGTGGAAGCTTGGCCGGCGATGTTGCTAAGTGAATTCAATTATCAATGAAGTTATTACTTTCATCACGCCATAACATGTAGTGCTGTCAATCAACGCCGTATTGCCAGTCTGACACTGTCATGACTAAGCCAAAGTTTGTATTCACACCAACAGTAGTTGCAGCTTGTGTCATTAACACATCTTACGTTACCCACACCACCGATGCACACATACGGGGGCTCCAGTAAAACCCTTTGTCCGTTCTACCATACTTAGAACCTTCGGTTTCTTGATGCACGTTTTTGAGAGATCGTCTTTCCATGTTGACCCTCATTTTGTGAAGAGTGTATCGGTAACTATGTAATATGAATTAGAATTTAAGGTTAAAAATATATACCAGTATTTCTCATTTCACATTACACAATGTGAAAATAGTGAACGTGACATGATACTTAACTCGCATTCACCAATCGCACCCATAGGTTTCAGAAGTCCATGCCTACATCATTCTACGATTCCATTAGTGGGCCAATACTACTGTACCTGCCGGCATATAAGCGTATTTGTGTTGATAATGTGCTAGCCTACCTACAATTAGTATCCTGTATGACGCCACGACAAACCCACTTGATACATGAACGGTTGCGCCTTTGGTTATTTTCGTGAACGTTTGACGAATGTTAGCGTAAAAGATAATCAATTTATTCAGAAAAAAACAGGTGAACTTTTTAATTCCGTTTAGCATTATTTGGCTAACTGTTGTTATTGTACGTTCCATTCATTTCCTAACCTCCAACAATTGTTCTCACTCAACTCACAATTGTATACCAGTTCTTTACAGCAAACACAATCAATCCCTCTTAACAAAACACGTGCTCATGTTTACAAATACCAAAATCTGTGCATTTCATCACATCCGCTTACATTACGTCATCACACAAATGAACACGTCATCATAATATCTATTTCGTCACTTTCTTTCATCTTGGTGGAGTTCCACCTTTGTTTTTCCCTCCATCATTTCACATTGTCCCTTCTACCAAAGCATAACATAAAATAACACGTTCTACTTTATTTCGGTGTGGATGGCGCAGCACTTTCAGTGCTCGATCGGTGGCAAGGTTCGAGGCGGACGCGGGGCCGATCTCTTACTCTCTTACACTGCTGCTGCTAGGCTGTCTATTTCTAATAGAAGCTACTTCCAACCTACAGGTGGTCAATAGCATTGATAACATCGCCGCTACCTGTCTCGTCTGTTCAGGATCCAATGGGGAGCAGATCATTAATCCCCCTTCAAATGGCCCTATGGCCGCCTACGCCTTCCACACCTGGCCTTTGTTAATCCAATTTTCTACTTTGTTATCATTCTGTTTCTAGGAGAGTCGGGCAATAATTGAAACATACTCCAAAAAGGCGAATGTCTTCCGTATTGAAATCCTTGCCCAACAACCACAGAAATGGATCACCAAAGAGGAATATTTACCCAAATTAAGCCATAATATACATCTACCTTCCATCTCACATCAGAACCCTTCCAGATTTAACTGTTTTTAAATCAGATCTAAAGACTTGTCTCTTTACTGAAGCATTTGAACTCTAGGTGATATCAATACCATCGTAGAGCCAGAGCGCCTTTGAGCGGTTTACGGATATTGGCGCTATACATGTGTTTGTATGTATGTATTTCGTATGTATGTATCTTTCGCTTTAGAAACTAAAGTCTTTGTTTTAAAAATAGGAACAGTGTTTGGGTCATAGGTCATATGTCATAGGTGATCAAACAAAGTGACACCAAATCTGTAAGGACATTTATCCTATATATATGCAGCCGATAGAGCGGTCGTTGGACGGAGAAGCGGATGAGACCAAGTCCGTGTGAATGAATGCGAACGATCGATTTTTACCACGACTGCTAACCAATACTACGGCCATACGTTTGTCGTCGAGAAGTAGTGAGACTGCGTTCACAACTGACATCGACGTCGCAGAATAAAAACCGTCCTCGTGGGCGTGGGAGACGTGATCACTACGAGATGTGTAGTGATATAGTAACGTGACCAGTCCATCAGATTCCCAGAGCGTGCTAAGGATTGTACCAGCGAGGTTGTCACATGGCGTCCAGGTAAGACAGTGTGTCTTTGTGAAATTACTATTGAATACTGTGCCCAGGTGTGTCATTATATGTCGACGGAAAGGTTTGTGACACTGGCAGGTGAATCCTTCATTTGTGGTTCAATGAGATGAATCGTATGTCTTCACTCTTGTGACAAGATCTGAGTTTAATGTATACTTTTATTCATATTCTAACTACATATTGAACACAGACACACACACACACACACACACACACACACACACACAAGTTAAAGTTTACAATCAACGTCGTCGTACCTCTCATGTCCTCCGCGTTATAGCTGGAATATTGCTGAGTGCGGCGTTAAACAACAAACACTATCTCATGTCCAGCAGAGGCTCTGTCATCATCTAAAATATGTAATATTGAAAACATAAGTATACTGACATATAAACATACACATAGCCTTAGTTTATAAAGCTCTCACAGGATACACAAACTAGCTAATGAGTATAGAACTCTGATACATCTCACACAAACGTAGATAAGCACGTTCACATAGTAATCGTTGTCTATGAAGTGGTATGCTGTTTCTTATCACCAACCTTTGGTATCCCAATCAAATTTTATATCGAGCGGGGCCAGTGGTTCAAATTGCCGACCCATCTCCATGCTGAACGGTAGGCAGAACAGAACAGATTAGTACAGAGCAAAACAGAACAGATTGTAGGTTACATTGTTGGGTACATGCATTAATATAACGAAGGCTTTTTATTAGAATGACTTTGGTGAGTATGGTCAAATGGAGATAGTGGTACACGGTGCTTTGACTCATCGCGTGTCACGGTAACCTTATACCATATTTGCGCATGTTTTCAATCGCAGTCTAGTTTGTCGCAGAACCGACTGATACGGATACCCGTGAAGATCCGGGTTAGAATTGATCTTCAGAAACCAATGCTTGTCGTAAGAGGCGACTATCGGGATCGGGTGGTCGGGATTGCTGACTTGGTTGACACTTTTCATCCCATCCCAGTTGCGTAGATCGATGCTCATGCTGTTGGTCAATGGATTGTCTTGTCCAGGCTAGATTATTTACAGACTGTCGCCATATAGCTGGAATATTGCTGAGTACAGCGTTAAACAATAAACCAACAAATAACATAACACATATGGAAAACTGTACATTTAGAAAAGCTAAAGTTCTCCTGAAGATGTTAAGTAAAAAAAGTGCTTCATACCTCACCTTGTTTCAGGAATAGTATATATATGATATTAACCAACGATAAATCAATTAGGATGCCACAACTACATCTGATTTTAAGTTTCGTTATAGTTCAAGTGATGTTCAGCTGTATAGAGGGAATAAGTACGAGACATTCATACAACGTTTACTACAAGGTTTATGGAAACATAGACTGACCTTATTCGTTACTGGTAACTCCAGTGATTTGATTCGCATTTGTGTTGTAATCACGATAATACAGCGATACATGAGCCATGTTGCGTCGCGAACTGTGTCTTTCATGAAGAATGTACGAGTTATGTGTCTAGAACTGTGTGTTGGATGAAATATGTTGAAGATAATTGTGTCTGGAACTGTGTGTTGGATAAAAATGTTTGAGATTTGTGTTTTTAGAGCTGTGTGTTGGATGACGAATGTTGAAGGTTTTGTGTCTAGAACTGTGTGTTTTGATGACGAATGTTGAAGATTTTGGTGTCTAAAAGTCTAGAACTGTGTGATGGATGAAGAATGGTGAAGATTTTAATGTCTGGAACTGTGTGTTGGATGAAGAAGGTAGAACATTTGTGTGTAGAGGACTGTGTGTTGGATGAAGAATGTAGAAAGTTTGTGTGGAGAAAACTGTGTAGAAAACTGTGTGTTGGGGGCAGAATGTAGAACTTATGTGTCTATAACTGTGTGTTGGATGAAGAATGTTGAAAATCTATGTGTGGAAAACTGTGTTTTTGATGAAGAATGTAGAACATTTGTGTGTAAGGAACTGTGTGTTGGATGAAGAATGTAGAACTTAAGCGTCTAGAACTGTGTGTTGGATGAACTATGTAGATGATCTGTGCGTAGAGAAGTGTGTGTTGGATAAAGAATGTAGAATATTTGTGTGTAGAGAAGTGTGTGTTGGATGAAGAATGTAGAGGCTTTGCATGTACTGCGTGTTACGTTGAAATCGTAGGTCTTCTGTGTCTAGAACTGTGAGTTGGATGAAGAACTAAAAGATTTGTATGTAAAGAACTGTATGTTTCATGAAGAATGTAGAAGATGTGTATGTACCGTGTGTTTCATGAAGAATGTAGAAGATGTGTATGTACCGTGTGTTTCATGAAGAATGTAGAAGATGTGTATGTACCGTGTGTTTCATGAAGAATGTAGAAGATGTGTATGTACCGTGTGTTTCATGAAGAATAGAGAAAATGTGTATGTACCGTGTGTTTCATGAAGAATAAAGAATGTTTCATGAAGAATGTAGAAGATGTGTATGTACCGTGTGTATGTGTATGTACCGTGTGTTTCATGAAGAATGAAGAAATGTAGAAAATGTGTATGTACCGTGTGTTTCATGAAGAATGTAGAAGATGTGTATGTACCGTGTGTTTCATGAAGAATGTAGAAGATGTGTATGTACCGTGTGTTTCATGAAGAATGTAGAAAATGTGTATGTACCGTGTGTTTCATGAAGAATGTAGAACGTATGTGTCTAGAACCCTGTTTTGGGATGAAGTATGTAGAACATCTTTGAGTAGAGAACTGTGTGTTGGATGAAGAATGTTAAAACACCTGTGTATATAGAAATGTATATGTATGAAGAAGCAAAATATCTCTTGACCAACGTGTGTTGAAAAATACAAAAAGAACATATAAGGTGACGAATAGTCACATTATTTCGGCCAAATAGCCGGGATGATCGAGTGTATCGAGGCTGTGCAATGCCTTGATAGCTCCTCTTAGACGTGACAGGATCCGCTGATTATAGATTCAATGATGTCGACATTGTAGTGAGAGGCAATAACGTTGTCCCGTGTGTCTTCTCTTTACTGATGAAGGTAATGAAATCGAGATGAGAAATCAGAATAAAATAAATCACATGAAGGTATGGTTATATATTGTCTTCAGTTCCATTACTCTGAGGGGCTATGGATGTCGACGTTGTGTGTGAGAGAGCGCCCGTTTTCCATGTAC